TTTAACATTAAATTAATATAATACATTCCAATTATAAAATAATGCATTTTTAACAAACACTAGATGAATTGGCATAATATTTCTTGGGAGTATTTGGAATATCAACTTCATTAATTCATAAACACCTAACTTTTTCATTTGGAACTGGCAATAGATGAAGACGAAAAGAAGCAACAAGTTTAAAAAATACAAAAATAAATAAAAGTTTTATTAAAAACTCCTTTGAACAGGTTTTCGGAAGATGTAATGAATAATAAAAATTACAAATTCTTCCAAAAGATAAAACATTATGTGTGGTTCAAAATGGCGCGAATATAGTACTTGGTGCTAATCCGGTTAATGAGCGTAATGAAAGCGGTTGGTTATAAAGAAAATACCGCCTCTTAAGGGCTCATTGTTTTAGCCAATATCATTAACCCCTTCTCGCTGTTAATGGCTCGTCGCCGACGTTTAATTGAAAGATACTTTTTTTTTCCACCGAGGAGGAAAAACGATTTCAAATATTCGCTCTGATCCCCGTTTAGAAGCTTTTGTGCTTTTATGGAGAAATTTTTGGAGTGACTGGGCATTCCAAATGCGTGAATAAAGTGACATTAAAATATTTAAACGCAATGTCGTGTATTAATTAATGGTTGCACTTCAGTTCGGCATTTGTTTTCGCGTTTAAGAGAGCTAAATTAGTTTTATTCTTATTGGAAAATTAAGTTTTTACTTATTTATTTATTGCTAAAGGATTCAGAATAAATGAAATGATCAAATTCCGGAAAGGCCTTATAGTATTTAATGTAAAAAAAGTCGGAAAGGAAAGGAGGTATGGTATTTTTATGCTGCTTCCTAGATAGCAGATTTTATTATTTACAATTACAACAAAACTTAATCACAATTATAGCGTATTATTTTTTAACAGTTGCAATAAGAGTAGCTGAAAGCTTCCTCCAATTACTAAATGCTTCAAAAAATAATATTAGCAAATTTAAGAAAAAACCGTAAGGTTAAGCAAAGAAACTTTCTTCTAATATTCAACTTCATGCGAAAAATTTTATATTTTCACTCAACCGCATGCTTATACAGCATGTATCATCTCAGCACCAACCTTGATATACTTAATTACTTTTACATTATTGATTAGGAAAATCTGTGGCGGAAAATAAGGTAACAAGTGTTAATAAAGGTTGAATATCCATTGTTTATAAAATTTAAAAAATGAATTTCTGAGATTCTGTAGATTATTAGAAAATTTCCACTTGTAATTTTTTTTTACTTTTCTCAGAACAACGAATTCGATTTCGGTTTCTAGAGTACCTGAATGCGAGTTTTCAAATTTGAAATCTCATTCATAACTTATATGATCATGTGACGTGATTCTTTCATCCTTATTTATGTTTCTGGTAAAACTCGTTGCTCATTATGAAGCCTTACAAAAAAAATGAAGGTTGGAATTTTGACGGCCATGTAAATGATTTGTCTCTGCCTTCCAATCATTAGGCATTTTCTTGTACTGGGCATTTTCTTATACTGAAATTACTCATCTATACTGGTTCATCCCACTGTCGTGGAAATACAACATTCGGAACTGAAGGTGTAAAGCATATTCGATTAGGAATTAGAGTAGTATGAAGGGGGGAGGGAAAGGCTTGCGTTGCCAAACATGGAGGGGGGAAAAACCTTTTGAAATAACAGGCAATATCTCGTTAAATGTTTCTTCTGAAACAAAGAATACAGATGAAACTAAACTGTTTTGGGACATAGATGAATATTTTCTCATCCAGGAAATCATTCCAGAGTATGCGAAAACATTACCCAGTTAGTACGAAACATCTGGCTGCCGGTAGGCGTTTCATTCAAAAAACGGTTGTAGACTCATTAGGTTATTTTGAAGCAGGAATACATGAAAAATGAGCAATGCCCTCGCCGGGACTCGAACCTGGATCTCTCGAATAAGCGCTGAATGTGCTACGGTTACACCAAGAAGGCATGTTGGAAGGAGGGAGAAATTACTGAATATACTTCCCATTTTAAAGGACGACTGGGATTAGAGAACCTAATCCTCTAATTCCTAAAATCCTTGTCGTGAAGAATTATTGTCCACCACCGTTTAGTATTATTGTCCACCACCGTTTAGTATTATTGTCCACCACCGTTTAGTTCGAGCACCATTTGTAAAGTCATTAGGTTATTTTGAAGCAGGAGTACATGAAAAATGAGCAATGCCCTCGCCAAAACTCAAACATAAATCTCTTGTATGCGCGCCAAGTATTCTACCGTTACCCCACGAAGGCATGCTGGAAGGAGGGAGAAAATACCTGATAAGGTAGCACAATTAACAAGGTAGAATAAACAGTTGGAGAAGTTTCGCCAAATACTAATTTAACATTTGCGTAAGTAATTGCACGTATTTACGTATTACGTACATAATTGCATGTATCAGAGCGGTTTTCGTTAAGGGGTATCAGCAACCCCTATGCCGACAATGTTAAATTGGCCATTTTCGATGTACCTTTTCTGAAAATCTGCTGTAGATACACGCTTGAAATTTTTTGTGTAATTAAAGTATACCTATCTGATTATATTGAAATGAGCTTTTGAAACATTTTGAATTTTAGAGTAATTTACAGAATATTTTTTAGGCATAGTAAAATTTAGCACTTTTCTCACACAATTTTTTTTTAATTTTGTTTTCTTAGTTTAACACAAAATGCTCATTTCAGTAAATATTGGGAAACCTAATAAATAAGCTATAAAATGTTTAGATACCTGTGACCAGTAGTTCCTGAGAAAGGGTACATCGAGTATAAAAAAAATCACGCTTGGAGAAAAACGCGTTTTTATGTAAAAATTCTCATTGATCAAAGCAGTCGATGACAAATTAAAACTAGATTTTTTACAGTTCTAATTTTCATAGTGATTAAAGAATGGTATTTTTAGAAAGATAAAAGTGTACAGAATTTGAAAATGCAAAAATTCGAAATCAGAATTTTTTGAAGATTTTTGGGTTCCAACGCTGCTTAACGAATGTTCGTAATTAATTGAGATGAATTAAATGTTTTTCAGACAGGAAAAATATAACAGGTATGCGCATGTATAACAAATATACCCAGACTTTTTTGTCTACAGGGCTTTGCAAGTCGTACCTTTTAAATATTAGGCGTAATCTTTTAAATATTAGTAATATCACGCCATTCGCGCCCTTTCTGGCCAAACGAGTCATATCCCTTAGTAAACCACATTGTTTTACAAATGTGTTCGTCTCCCTGTAATATTTGTGAGGAAGACCACGAAAAGCATATGATTCAGTGCCTAAAATGCAAAGGATGGTACATGACTTACGTGCTGCAGTTGACAAGAAAATGAAAAAATTTCTGTTGAAATTAATTGTATAGAAAAATTAATTGAGAAAAAGAAATTTTTATTAGAATTGTCCAATTTTAAATGTGGTACCGCTTAAGCTATAGATGGTACTTGGAGTAATGGTTGTATAAGACGTATTAAGTTCATGTTCATAAATAATTTTATTAATTTTATCCAAAAGAGTAGAGTGTATGGAATTTTATTGTAATAAATATCAGCAACAACATCACAAGATATTATTGCTACATCTTACATCATAGATCCTACAATTTACATCTATTTTTTCTTATGGGGTCCGACCTACAGAACCTTACACTACGTAGTTTCTTAATCAGGAGAATAAGTTATGCATTTTCTATATGCTTTGTATTCATAATTTGCTTGAAATTCCACACAACATGTCCTTAAATATTAACTGACTACCAGCCATTAGAATTAAGAAAAAAATTTAAATCAAGAAGAAGAAAATAATTTAAACCAAAGACAACTCAGACATCTTTAAGTAAGGCAAAATTTTTGCATTGACAATGCGTATTTCTAATTACTTCTTTCAAAAAATAAAAATAACTTATTATAATAAATATAATGTAATAATTAGAAATACTCATTGACAATGCGTATTTCTAAGTACTTCTTTCAAAAAATAAAAATAATTCTTCTTTAAATTATAAAATATTTTCTAAAGCGATAAATCATGATTTACGCATCAATAATGATTTGATTTAAGCATTAATTTTGTGACAACATTATTTTTATTGGAAATTCCTGTAAAAAAATAAGCGAAATATTTAATCTAAAAATAAGCAAAAATAAATGCGGTATTTTCAGAAATTAATTCGTTTCTCTCGGTGAAAGAAAATGAGTTAAAAATGCCAAACACGTTACGAATCTATTTAAATATAATATTAATTTAATTAATGCCTTTCAATAGAAAATTAACCAGATATCAAGTTACTTTATTTAGTATTTATTAGTGTCAGCATTTATTTTATGCGTGTGAAAGATCAACAATATACACAGACAGATAGTTAAAATTTGGAAAACTAGTTATGAACCAGAAATTTCTTAATATAGCAGCGTGAGATATTATTCATGAGGCAATAACAAATAGCATTGCTAAAGCAGAAAATAAGGAAAATATTAGTACACCATTTCACATAAACAAGTATGTTGCATATTTGTGAAAAACAGCTTAAAAGGAAAGAAAACATCTTGTCAAAAACACTGCAGCCTACAGTTACGAAATTCTCCGAAATGACTACCGGGCAAAAGGAAAGGATGTCTAGACAGAAGCCATACAGTTAGGAATCACAAAAGTCAGTCAGTTATTGTTGGAAATATTTCTGCCTCATATATGAGACAACAGTGTAATATTATATTTAATATAATATACTTTAAAATTTTATACAAAAAGAGGAATGAATACAAAGCCATAGACTTAGTGTGGCATTGTGGTTTCATATTACTTCCCTAAAGTTTCTCATCAAAATTCTAACACAAAACAGTTTTCTCTTGAATTGAGTATGTTGTAATGCCAAGCAAAGAAGCTATATGGAAGGAAATAAACGGCGAAATACTAAATATATGATTTATTTGATATATTTCAGAATAAATCTATATGTATATTCTTTACTTTAAAGATTTTATTTTACATTGTTAGTCAGTTTTCCTGAATTCATTTCAATGCTAGCCAGCTCCTTCCAGTATTGGTAGTTTTGTCCCTTCATATGTTCGAAACTTGCTTCAGAAGTACCACAAGCAGGAAAAAAGAAGCGGCCCGAGTTGATGCAAGGCGAAAGGACGCACTCTCTCCTTGTAGCAACCAGAATTAAATACAGATCAGGAACTGGAAGTGTGTAACTACCAAAAGCTTTGACAGAAACACAAGAATTAGGAAGAGGTTTAAGATAAACTAAACTCAGTGACACAACAGCCCTTAGTGAGCCATGGCCTGCAGTGCCTTGATACCTGCTTTCTTGGGCCTGCAGTGCCTTTATACCTGCTTTCTGCTTACCGTGGGCTTCGGGGTGCATGAGTATCCCGGACAAGTGGTCAGCTTATCGCAAGACCCCCAGTGTTTAGTTACCAAGAGAACTTGGTACTCATTTCATCGCCAGAATTCACAGCTTAGTGTGCTTCTGTTACGTAATGAAAGAGTTAGAAAATGTTGATGATTTTGTCTTTATTTTATAAGGTATTTCTTCCGCCTTCTTCGCATGCCTTCGTGGTGTGGTAGTCTGCACGCTTGGCGTGTATTCCAGAGGTCCGTGATTCGATTGCCGGGGAAGGCGTTGCATATTTTTCATCTTTCCTGCTTCCAAAATACCTAATGTCTCTACAATTTCTAATCATTAATAAATTTCCCCAGCAACGGTTGTATTTGCATTTAGTTTATTATTATTATTATTATTATTTTGTTTAACGTTTTAAAGAGTAATTCTTAAGAAAACTTCTCTTGTCTTTAGATGTAAGTTTCAAGTCGCAATCGGGAATAGACCCAAGTTCTAAAGGTCACCAAAATACTTTCTTAGATCAAAGAAAAGCATGTAAAACTACATAAGAAATGAATCCTCTAAAAGTTAACCCACTTTATAAATCTGCCATTGCTTTATTTTTCCGCATATTATTGCAAATAATTAAAATTCATATTTTGCAAGAAGATTTATAAATTTCATGTGAACAGTTTCAGTAATATTATTGCTATTGGCACGAATATTACAAAAATAGCTATATTGGGAAACTCAGCGTTATTGTAAATTACTAAATTGGAAAAGGAATTAACTAGCTCCTCAGACTCAAACCAGAAAAGAAAATAAGTAATGGCGTTATAGATACCTTATTCATAAGATACAACAGAAAAATATTAGTAATTTTATAGTTCAGAGGCCAATAATTAGGATCATCAACGAAAATTTCATATTTTCGGAGAAGGGAGAATGCGGTCAACCTTTTATTTATCTGTTAGGTATTTAGTTTTAGTTTATAAATATAAAAAAGTACTCTTATCCAAATTTTGGCATTTATCAACATTTTTCACATTTTTTGTTATTTAATTTATAAAACATCTTAAAAAGTCATGTAAATCTAGATAAATATATATATTTATCTAGATTTATTTTTCGAATTTGGAAAGGAGAGGGAAATGATTTTCTAGCATTGGAGAAAGGGATGCATGGTGCAAAAATCTTTTAGAACTTCTGTCATAGTTAAGTAAGAATTAATTGTATGTTTGTTGGAAGAAAGTTACAATATTTAAATTTAGATAACGCACAACTTGCAATTGATTATTATTTTTTTTAAATACATCTTTTTAAAATAATTACTTAGTCAATGAACAGTCAAAGGACAGTAATTATTATGAGGTATTTTCTCCCTCCTTCCAGCGCATGCCTTCGTGGTGCAACGGTTAGCACACTCGCCGCGTATTCGAGAGGTCTAGGTTCGAGGCGAGAATTGCTCATTCTTCACATCTCCTGCTTTAAAAATCATAATAAATCTACATTGGCGGCCGAACTAAAAGGTGGTGAATGATGATTCTTCACCATAAAGATTTGGCGATAAGGTCCCTTATTACCCAGTCGCCGTTTAAAAGGGGGAGTATATAAGGTATTCTCTGCTTCCTTTCAGCATGCTTTCGTGGTATAACAGTTAGCACACACGGAGCGTATTCGAGAGGTCCAGGTTCGAGTCCCGGTGAAGGCATTGCACATTTTTTACGTCTCCTGCTAGCAAAAATCCTAATGACTTTACAATGTTGCTAGTTAAATTTTTGGCATTGGTTCAGCAAGCAGACTTATTCAGCTAAAGTTTAGATTTAACATTAATATTCAAAATTTTATTCCAAAAGAGGGGAATTATTAGAAATGAAGAAATATTTCCTCAGAATTTCACACTTAACGTCATTAATGATAATATATCCGCATCAGCAGTTTAAGAAAATTCTAGTTGCACAAATTAACAGTCGAGATATTAAAATTCCATAAGTTAACATTCCTTGCAAACACTTTTCTTTTGTAAATTAACAAGTTAATTTTCGAAACCGGAGATTGTACAGAGAAACTTTAAGTTTCAATCCATCTCTTTAAGTTTATTATTGGCAAATTTTCAAATTACTGAAAATATTGAGATTCTACAACTAATGATGAGAAAGAGTACAATTTTCTTTTCTGTTTTCTATCAATGAGATAGTTCAGATTTATAAATAAACACTTTCAGAAATCTCGTGCTGAGTAAAATTAAGATACAGTTCATTACCCCCCACAGCATTTTTTTTAGTTATATACTTTTTCTCTCTTCGTTTTTTATTGTTTAAAGTTAATTTAGAATGATAAAAATTCAACCTATTCGGTTTGTTATGCAAAAACGAATCCATAAAAATTTAAGCATAAGGCATAAACGGTGCGCTTTCTGCAGCTAAAATGAAACAAGCGTAACAATAAAAACAGGTGGCGGGTATTATATTAACTGCTATACGCGCTTTCACGAAATCGGTTTCTTCTTTATGTGCACAGTCCCACCGCACACCGACTTTGGGATGGATCCATTCCAACTTCCATCTAGAAACTGTCATTTGCGGGTCTTTGTAGTTTACAGTTTTACATAATTATGAGACGGAGACACATATGAAAGCCACCGCTGTGAAAGTAATTTTCTTCCATTTATGCGTGGCCGCGTTTCCCGTACCTGTTTCTCAAATTCCATTAGTGGAATCGAAAGGGAACAATAGTGCGGAAATCCTTTCCGAAAACAAGCGAATGAATGAATAATAATAATACGGACATATCTAGTCTAGTAGAGGCAAAAAAATTACATAAATAAAACGAATAAAACACAGAAAGAGAGAAACAGACAGAAAGAATTGTACGTCTTTTGCAGAAAAGGTCTCGTCGCTTATTAATGATGACAAGTCGCAAACGAGCTTAGACTTTTTCTAAAGTCTTTCGTTTTCCGGTAATTATTTAGACGGAATAATTTCAGATAACGATGACGGGCAAAAAACCTTATCGTTCCTGACGGCGGGATTAAAACAAAACAAAAAAAAAAGGACATACCGAGAAAAAAAACAGCCCCTCCCCCCCGGGGCCAAATGTCGTTATCGCTTTTGCGCGTCTCTCTTTTGTTTTCTAATGATTAGAGGCGAGAAAGTAATGCATTACGGATAAAAATCTGCTAAATGCTGAAATGCGGAGCAGCTGCCATTTAAGAACACAAAAAACAAAAAAATCGCCTCCATATTCATTGCAACAGTAAACTTAGAAAGCACGCAACACAAGAAGAAAATGTCAATTATTTTTTAATGCTCATAATCTATCACAGGCATGCAAAGTAAAACACAATACATTCGTATACCATGAAAAAGTATGAATTACGAATAATAAATCTCCAGCCATCAAAACACTTATATACCTTTATCAATATTTCCCTCCAAACACTTGAACCTAAACATTTGAAGTATAACGTGCAGCTTGAAATATGCCCAAATCGTTATTGCCGAAAACGAGTTTAAATACATTTAGTCATAAACGTACTAGAATCATATAATCACAAAAGTACGTTCTTCTCATGAGCTCTAAGACAGCATTTCAGGAGCAAATGCTTGGATGGATGGCGGGAGAAATAACTAATAAGAGCAGATGCAAAACCAAAGAACCATTCGGGAACGTACAAATCGAAAACACTAAACATAATTTACACGATGTGTCTCATAAATTTAATACCATAGGGAATATTATAGGAATTGATGCAAATGATTTCTATACATTAAACACAAGATCAGTCAAATGACCCCTCCAGTATTTCATGTTTATTACTGGATAAAAGTAGGAACAACTAAACTGCGAGCACGACAGATGCTTTCTTGCAGCAGATGAAAACTTGTTCAGGCGTAAACGAAGATTTTAAACAATCTCAGAACAAAAATCCAAACAGTGTCAGGCATGAATCTCATTAGGCCGTTCAGCACTTTTAGATTTCGAAACAGTCAACACACCCCTTAACAGAAACCCACCATTCTAGTGGCTTGGAAACGGGCAACTAATTCCTAAGATGATGAGCCTGATCAGTCGTTACACTGGAAACAGCATAGAAACCATTCCGTTAACAGATTAACAAAATCTGCGAACAGCAATAAATGAAATGCGTACACTAAATATGATCAATCCGAATGTTAGCTAAGTAGAAACAATATAATAGACACAAAACAGCGCATTGCATTGTAATACAACGAGCTTCAAAACTAGATGCACAATTGTAAGATATCACCAGAAATTGCAGGCGAACAGATGACGAAAAAACAATAAGACAATACAAATTCGAAAACTGAAATCGAAATTTCAGAAAAATGAATATATTTCTGAAATACTTCAGAAAAAATGAATATATTATTAAGAAATATAAAATTACAGGTAGTTTAAGTTCCGCAATTTAAAGTGCATAGGGACTTTATTCTGTAGAAGTTAAATCAAAGTCCTTCTGATCCTATGACAAGCGAGTTATCACTCCATCTAAAATATTATGACAAAAGTCTTGAGTAGATTTTAAATAACCTTTTTATTTAATTTTCAAACGAACGAAAGCACAACTTGTGCGTACAAATAAATGTTGCCACTTGGGGGTACTTAAAATAGCATAAGCTGAAATTTCAAATGTATTCGGAGATAATGTATTCGGAGACTACACAAGTTGGTGTACTTAAGCTAGCTCAATATTTCTTAAAGCGCGTTTTTAACGTCGGTTAACGAAATGGCTAAATTCGGAGTAATCACTGGCAGAACTGGGTCGTATGACGTAAACTGCAGGCAAGGCTGCCAAAAGCTCTAATGCTAAAACATTCAAAACAGTCGACCTAAAAAATACTGAACCATCTAATATGCATTTTGGTAAAGACTACGGAAAGGAGAAGTTATAGTAAAGGTGTAAATCATAATAATTTGTCAAATAACATAAAATACTCTACGAATGCAGCCAGTTAATTGAAGATGTTAATCAAAGCTTTCTATGTATGCTATAATTTTCTTGCTTGCATGCACGATTT